CAAATACACCAAATAATTATCTTTTTAGCAACATCATATGACCCCTTTAATGTATGAAGGCATTTTCTGCTTTTTGTAAGCACAGCAGGTGGCAGTGCAGGAAAGCTGAAATCAGTTGCTTTGCACACATCATCTACAGGACTAGAGGTCACGCAGCAGACGTTTCCTTTACATCAGCTCACAGAATAACAACACAGCTCTCATACAGCAGAACTCCCTCAGGACCGCTCAAACACTGTATACCAGATTTTTTAGTTCATAAAAACAACTAGGGTCATTCTGTGAACTCAAAAATTATAACATCAAGATCTTGTCTTTATTTGTGTTGATAGAAACTTGAGATAAGCATAATTTGCCGATTAAAAGTCATTGTAAATGTAATTTATGCTCTAAAAGAAGAACTTAATTTACTGTTCACAAACTCATGGAACATTCAAAGAGAGTTCACACAAAAATGAAAATTCTGTGATCGTTTACTGACCCAAATGGTACAATATGAAGTCTGTCATTGGCTGTGTGTCGGTCACATGAGGGCGGTGTTACTCTGTCACAATAGGTTTTTGTGATTTCTCTTTGAGCTTCAGGATCTTTGGCCTGATCCTGCTGTGGAGGATTTGTCTTTAGTACCATTAAGTAAACTTGGCCTAGTTCAGACAGACAGGTGGTCGGGTTGTCACCTGACTTTTGAGTTTCAGATTTTTTTTCTATATCTCATTTGATTGATCATGTAAATGCAGCATGACGTCTGTGTATTGAGCAGACAGCAGTGTTTCCTGCCTAGCAACAGCATTGGTGGAGGCTGATCCTCTGTCCTGGACTGACGGATGGACAGAGGCTCAGTTTAGCAGGGATGCTGTGAGGTTCAGATTACCTTCCTTTAATCCTGACTCTATTCAACACACACACACACACACACCCACACAATAAGATAATGAATGGAGTATTTGGCTTAATGCAACATCCGATAATAATCATCACGACCCACCCCAACATGTGCTGTAACATTTTGATTAAAGCATTTTTACACGTACACACACACACACACAAACAAACAACAGCAGCCTGTTTCAGGTGAATAATACATTTGGATGATAATGATTGTTATTTTGGAGTCATTTTAGTACTTGTAGAAGACATACGTGGTACTTTATAATATTACATAAATCATGGAATATATACATTTATTTGCAACTAAGTATTGTAGTAGTAGTGGTAGTAATAATTATTGTTGTTATAGTATTGTTACTATTATTGTTGTTATTCTTATAGTACTTCTACTATATTATACTTATACATATTCTTGTAGTACATGATAATTTATATAATATATTTATAACAAACACAATGTACATAAAATAATATAACTTTTGTAGTTGTGATAAGTTTTGATGATTATGATTATTGTTGTTTAATTAATAGTAGTAAATGTTTTAGAATACTGATTTTTATATATATATATTATATATTTTGTAAACCGTAAATATGTAATATACTGTATAATACAGCAATAACTGTAGTAGTAATAATAGTTTTTATTAATGATTAAAAGGTGATGTTTTTAATAATAATTGATGTTTTGAAAATGATTTATTGTTATTTGGATGGGGAGTAGTACAAGTTATATATTATTATATTACATTATATTACATTACATTACATTACAGTGCCATGAAAAGTGTTGGCCCCCTTCCTGTTTTTTTATTTTTTTTGCATATTTGTCACACTTAAGAGCTACAGATCATCTAGCAAATTTTAATATTACACAAAGATAATGCAAGTAAATACAAAATGCAGTTTTTAAATGATGATTTCATTTATTAAGGGAAAAAATGCTGTCCAAACCTACCTGGCCCTACGTGAAAAATTAATTGCCCCCTCCTCTTAAAAGGGTCTTATGATGCGATTTAAATTTTTCCTTTCTCTTTGGAGTGTTACAAGCTCTTGGTGCATAAAGAAGATCTATAAAGTTGCAAAGACTAAAGTCTCAAATCCAAAGAGATATTCTTTATAAAAGTTAAGAGTCAGCCACGCCTAAAACGTACCTAAAACGGCTCGTTCTAATACACCCCCACATGTCTACGTCATGATGTGAGAAGATTTGCATAACACCACCCAAATGTTCACGCAAAGAAAGAAGGCGTAACTTTTATTCTTGCTGTAGTTTTGTTGTTGCTGTGTGTTTCGTTGTGAAAGCTAAACTACTTTGTTTGGACTTCCAAAAGAGGACGATATCCGCTTCGTCATGCCTAGAGCTGATCCGTGCTGGTCGCTGAGGAAATACATCAACTTCGCGCTGTGGATCGCCGGATCGGCTTTCACCGTGGACGAAGCGGAGTCCAGTCTGGGATCGTCACATGTGGTTGCCGCAAACCCACCGGCCTCCACTCACTCTAGCCGCAGGTATTTATATATAAAGATTCAAACGCGAGTTTTGAGCAGTGTAGAGTAGCACTTGTTGTTTGTCATTTCTCCGATCACAAATGCAGACATGGTTTTGTTTACGCGGCACGATGCAATGCATAAAAAGACAGTATAAGTCATTATAATCCGTAATTATGTCCCCGCTGGATGCAATAAATGCCTAGTTTATAATGGGTTTTAATGTTTATGTCTCGTAGCTCCGGCCGGGCAGGGCATCACAGTATGGTAAGGGGCATAACATTTCCGTCACACGCTTGAGGTATTCGGCCAATCACAACGCACTGGATAGCTGGCCAATCAGAGCACACCTCGCTTTTCAGAACGATGAGCTTTGTAAAAATCATTGCGTTTCAGAAAGGCGGGCATGGAGGAGAAACAATAATGTACAGCATGTGGAAAATAATGTGTTTTTTGAACGTTAAACCGCATAAACACATTTCATTACACCAAATACAAAAAATAATGTTCTTTTTAGCAACATCATATGACCCCTTTAAATCATGAAAGAACTGTGATTAACCACATTATTTTAGATCAACAACTTCTTGTTGATCGAAAATCACTTAAATAGAACCTGTCTGACAAAGTGAAGCATGCTTAAAGAGCAACACATCATGCTGCGATCTAAAGAAATCCAAGAACAAATGAGAAACAAAATAGTTGAAATGTATCAGTCTGGAAAGGGTTATGAAGCCATTTCTAAGGCTTTGGGACTCCAGCGAACCACGGTCAGAGCCATTGTCCGGCCGTCAGTTTGTAACCTCAGGCTCAAGCGCACTTGGGTTATGCAGCAGCACAATGATCCTAAACACACCAGCAGGTCCACCACTGAATGGCTCAAGAAAAACAAAATTAAGGTTTTGTAGTGGCCAAATCAAAGTCCGGACTTAAATCCAGTTGAGATGCTGTGGCATGACTTTAAACAGTCCATTCATGCTCTCAAACCCTCCAGTGTGGCTGAATTAAAACAGTTCTGCAAAGAAGAGTGGGCCAAAATTCCTCCCTAGCGTTGTGAATGACTCATTCCTAGTTATCACAAACGCTTGATTGCAGTTGTTGCTGCAAAGGGTGGCACAACCAGTCATTAGATTTAGGGGGCAATTACTTTTTCACGTAGTGCTAGGCAGGTTTGAACAGCTTTTTCCCTTAATAAATGAAATCATTATTTCAAAAATTTTTGTATTTACTTGGGTTATCTTTGTGTAATATTAAAATTTGTTTAATGATCTGAATCATTCGTGTGCGAAAAATATGCAAAAAAAAAACAGGGTGGCAAAAACTTTCACAGCACTGTATATTATATTGTTATATATATATATATATATATATATATATATATATATATATATATATATATATTAAAACTTAATTTGTGATTAGTAATATGCATTGCTAAGAACTTCATTTGGACAACTTTAGCGATTTTCTCAATATTTAGATTTTTTTGCACCCTCAGATTCCAGATCCAGATTCCAGATATGTTTTCAAGTAGTTGTATCTCGGCCAAATATTATCCTATTGTAACAAACCATACATCAATGGAAAGCTTATTTAGACATCAGCTTTCAGGTGATGTGTATATATCTCAATTTTGAAAAATTGACCGTTATGACTGGTTTTGTGGTCCAGGGTCACATATACATTTTGCCATCACCAGGCACTTTTTTATCAAAGGCAACTTGCATTGCATTTTGAGGTAAACTTTCTTTTAAAAGTTTGGGGGTTTTATACTCACAAAGGCTGTATTTATTTGATCAAAAATGCAGTAAAAAAACAGTAGTATTGTGAAATATCATTTTAATTTAAAATAACTGTTTTGTACTTAAATATATTTTAAAATGTAATGTATATTTGTGATGGCAAAGCTGGATTTTCAGCAGCTTAACTCCCGTTTTCATGATTCTTCAAAAATCATCAATGTTAAAAACCTAAAACATAATGCTTTTTTCCAGGACTCTGTGATTAATATAGTTCAAAGGAACATCATTTATTTGAAAAATAAATATTTTGTAATATTATAAATGTTTTTACTGCCATTTTTGATCAATTTCACGTCTTTGCTGAGTAAAAGTATTCATTTGTTAAAAAAAATAAAAAATGTGTTTTAATAATTCATGCATTCCCTGGGAATAAAACCCATGACTTTGCCATTGCAAAGTTCACTTCACTTGGCAATTCCTTTATTCAGCTTGATCAAGTTTTCAGTCAACTTCCAATGAAATTAAATATTGATCTTTTTTCCCCAATACTTTTAGATGGAACATTTTTGTGGAATTTTTGAGTTTTTAGGACAGTAAATATAAATGATGTTTTATTACATTTGATCATACCTATTTAAGGTGAAAAGAGAAGCACATTCTGTATGTCAATTAAAATTTCAATTGTACTTTTTCTGAATTTTCTGAGCCTAAAGATAAAGGGTGAAGAAACTCTTGTGTGTTTGAAGGAAATCTGCCTTTACATCCAACAAATACTTGTTTAACTGAACTTTTGCACTCCACAAAAATGAGACAAAACTTTGTTACAAAATCAACTGTGTTCCTTGAGCTTGTGCTGAATTAGTGCTTTTGTTTCGCCAGACTGAAGGTGGAATTCTAATCCTATGGCAGAAACATATATTACCCTTGGAATCAAAACCTTAATGGGAAATCTGTGATGACTGAACCCCCTGCATCAATCCTCTTTGTGCAACCTAGCGAGAGATACACATTATCTAGGATTTTTTTACACTGCACCCCTGCTCTCGACAGACCCTGGTTGGGAAACACTGGTCTAAATAATGCCGCGAGTGGGGCTTGAGGAAGTGGCGTCGCCTGCATCTGCGCAGTGAGACCTGATGCAGCCCCTGAAGCGAGACACAGGAAACAGAAATACTGCAAAATAATAATAATTAGGAGACGAAATAACGTTATAACATTTAGTTTCGTCTCGTTTTGGTCAACGAAAATGAAGAGACATTTTAGCATAGTTTTTATTTTGTAAGCCACATTTAGTCTCGTTTTTATTCGTCAACGATATTGCATTATACATTTAATTATCGTCATCGTCACGACCAGCATTTTCGTCTCGTCTCGTCTCGTTTTCGTCACGTGATAAAGGTTCGTTGACGACTATATTTAGTCCTAATTTTCGTTGACGAAAGCAACACTACTGGTTCCAAACATGGAGCTGCATAAAGGCCATGATTTTTGTATTGTCCATTTAAAAAAAAAAAAGTAAGAAAACAAGCTATTAACAAAAAATACCAAAAAAAAATCTAACTAAAAATTAAACTACAGTAGTCAACATTTGAAGTGGATCAAAACCTTTCATCAAAGTTGTCCTAAAACCTAAAACCAAAATGCGTTCTTGTCCTAGAACAAATTTTGACTGCTATACTTTTTGTAAAACCATGAGAAAACAGTTTATCAAATAAAACATAAAAATTAGGCTTTATTATTATTATTATTGATAATAATAGTAATTATTGTTGTTGTCTCAATTTTAAAACTGAGAAAACGGACTAAAAAATCTAAAAACAAAAATAGAACAAAAGCGAAAAATATGTTCAAATATCATTTAATAATAACATATAATAATAATAATAATAATAATAATTATTATTATTATTGTTGTTGTTACTATTATTATTATTGATAATAGTAATTGTTGTTGTTGGTGTTGTTATTATTGTGTTGTCTCTATATTAAAACCTTGAGAAAACAGGTTAAATAAGAAAAAACAAAACAAAATAAAAAAAAAGCAAAAAGCAAAAATATGTTCAAATATTATTTCATATTAACATTTATTATTATGTTATGTTTTTAAAAAAAATTGTATATAGCATTTAACTCTTACTCATTTCTAAATGTTCTTTGAAATGTGTATTTTAATCTATTATAAATCACATCTTTTAAAGTGCATGAAGGACTGTACTGTGGCCTCTGTTGGCTTCTGATACTTTTTTTTTTTTTTTTGCAATTTTGCTGTGTGAAGCTAGTGTCACATTACATATGTACCTTTAGCACTTTCAATTTATTTAATTTATTTATTTACAAGTTATCCCTCTAGGGTCTGTTTTGTAAGTCATAATTATTATCCTGATTAAATTAGGGCTAACCCACTTTTTCTTAACCATACTGTGACCCAACTTTTCCATCTCAAACGTGGCAGCTGCAGAACATTCAGTGTTCATGTAAACTTCCTCTTCACACTTCCTGCTGTGAAAACGGTGTTTTCTAAAGGTCAGTACATTCGGCCATCCTGAAAGCGGCCCACAATCAGTCAGGCCATGAATGGATTTGGAACGAGGCCGCTGATGGTGTCGGATGTGCCGACTCACTCACAGGTGCTGAACTGGCACATGGCACGGTGCTGTGCGGGGCGGGGAGGGGAGGGGAGGGGAGGGGAGGGACGGGGCGGTCGATCGTCCTCTGTGACACTGCTGCTTCTCACACACAGAGCCATCGGCCACTCACTCACTCTCACATTAAAACAAATGGCTGTCCAGGCATCGTTTGCTGTGCCAGCTGAATGGGTTTACTGCTAAACTAAATACAAATTCCCTGGGCTCCGCTGTCAGCCAAAGAAATCAATGATATCGTGAGAGGGAAAAGACCTATGAGTGTTTGATAAAGCTTGTGGCTTTGACACCGAATGCTGACGTTACTTTGCTTTCTTAGAACTTCACACAGTATATCATATTAGGAAACACTAATAATCTATAGGAACAACATTAGCAGACATTAGGACATTCTGGAATATTTCACTCAGACCAATTCTGGTTGATTGCTGAATTTACATAATGACCATTAAAGTGTATATTTGGCAGATTTCCTACATAGCGCTGCTAGTTTAATGTCTCTCGCATCACTTCTCGGACTCTTTTCTTTATTGATAATAAAATGTTTTGTCATGATTAGGTCAAAGGTCTGAGACCCAGAATGTAATTTAAATGCTTAACGTCACTAGTAATTTGTTTATTTGATTAGTGACCTAGAAATAGTGTGGAATAAACTAAAAAACAAATTCTTTGTTTTTGTCATTTATTTGGTTAAATAATTTAAAACAATGTTTGGTTTCAAGGTTGAGATTTGATTTTGAAACCCTTACTTAAATTGCATGTATATCATTCTTAACTTAATTGTTAATGTACTTTAAGAAGTTAGAAATGTTACTGAAGTTTCATTTAATATATTTTCATATAAATTCATATTGAGTGTACATTAAACTGGTGATCTGTTGAGCATTTAAAAATATATTTAAAACAATCCATTCATTTGGATTACGTTGTTTTAACATTAATTTAACTAATAAACTTAATGTGATGCATATTTTACAGTCAAGAATGAGATTTATGTAATAGTACCAATAAACTGAATGTGTTTTTAAATATGCAGTAACTTTTAATATGCAATAATTATATATTAAACCTGGTTTATATATTTATATATTATTTAGGTATTAATAAATTCAGTTTGTTTCAATCTCATACATTCTAACTAAATTAATTTGAATTGTTCCACAGCTGGCCGTATTTGTGCCATATTCAGTTTTGTTTTTACAAATAACAGATTTATGCTGATTATAAGCAATTTAAATGAATTCATATTGAAAAATATTTTTGTTACTTATGTACAGCATTGTTGTGTTCTTGATTCTGATTAATTAACAGACATGACAAGATATTATAATTAATGTACATCCAAAATGAATGCCAAGTGCTTTGCATATTGTGTAAACATTATTTTTATTAATTAATTTTTTTTATTTATCATTTTTATTTATTTATTTAAAAGCTATAGTCTTTTACAGAAAGGTCTAAAAGGGCAGTTATTAAATGGAAATCAAAAGCATTTGAAGTGTGAAAAGTATTAATTGTAACATTATAATATCCTACAATCTCTCCCCTGTTGTTCACCTTGTTGCTCAGGAATTGTTTTCTTTGGCCAGTGACATTTAAAGACACTACGCATGAGTTCACTCACCTCAGTCAACACTGCACCAGAATGCCCTATAGATGTCAGATGGCACCTGTGGAAAACAAAAAGTCTGAAGTGGCAATAACAACACTGAGAACCTAGTGGACCCTGGGAAATGGAAAGTTTAGAATGAGTGCGCATTCTATGAACTGAGATTCACTGAAAAGCGCTGCCTGCACCTCAGTAAGGACTGCAGGGATGTTCGGGTCAATTTGTTTGCAAATTTCTCTCTGGCGATTTAGTCAATTCTCTCTGAGGAGACATAATTCATATCTGAAATGAAATGCTTTGGAAGCTGAAGATTCAGAAATCAATAGCTTGTTGCTCAGTTGCGGGTTTTTTGTTTATATGTTTTGTTCCTTTGAAAGTCAGTATGCTTTTATTGCTGAATGTGTCGCTTGTAGTGTCTGAGTTGAATATGTAGGGTTGGGTATGGTTTGGGGTTTTTTCGATACCAGTGCCAAATCGATACTTTTAAAACGGTTCCGGTGCCTGAACCGATGCTTATTAAAAAATAAATAAATAAATAAAAATTCCCCCAAAAAATGATGGGTTGGCCATTAGAACAGAAATAGAATAGAGAGTGCAAATGAAATGATTTTTTAATAATAAAAAAAAAACAAGCAGAGAAAATTAGAAGTAGCATTAGAATAGAGAGTGCTAGAGTTAGAGGGTCAGATGAAGATGAAAGAGATGTGTTTTCAGCCGTTTCTTGAAAATATTAAGGACTCAGCTGCTTGGATTGAGCTGGGCAGGTCATTCCACCAGGAGGGAACAGTTAATGTAGAAGACCATTAAAGTTGTATCATAGGTAGAATGCAAAATGTTTCAATACAAGCATTTCAGTCAAATGTAATGTATGCAATATTTCAAACCTTTAACCCACTTGGGGAAAATCAACCCATGGCAACAGTTTAAAAGTAGCCCAATTCTGTGGAAAAAACGCAGACTTGGCAACCCTGCATCTAACAAGAGCTACCGGAGTCAAGCTTTGACTGATCACAGGTCGAGAATAAAGAGAGATGACTGACAAGATCATGCTGGAGTATACGCTCAACAGATTCTGAGCTCATTGACAAATATCTGATCTTGTAAGATGTCCTTGCTCCCTGTGCGGCCGGACGCATTTTTGTAGGTCCAAAAAGAGGACGTATGGTCACCCTAATCTATTGCTAATCAATGTATTCTTTTTAAAGTAGCATATAGAACATATTTTCTGCCTCATTCTGTGACAATAAGCCTCATCAGATCACAAAAGGAAGCATTTGACTGGTGTTGTTGAGTAAAAAAAGTTATGTTCTCTTTTGTTGGACAACAGGTTTAGAAATGTGAATACAAGGGAGGTTTAGCTTTAGGAATTGTAATTTAAGCATGTTTAGCTTAGTTAACGGAAGGCTACCTGCTGCCATCAGAGCAAGTGCAATTACTGCATTCACGCGCTCCTCGGATGCTCTCATTTCCCGAGTTGTGCTTTTAAGTCGGAATGTGGAAACAAACGTGGACACTCGCGTTACTACAAATATGTGTTGGATTTGTACTATTAGAGTTTTCTGACTTGAGTTCACATGCATTTTCTCAGTCGGGAAATAATTTTTCACGTGCGGTGCCAGTGATGATGCTTCTTACGTCTGTTTCGGAGAACCTGAGGACAG